ACTCTGCTTTCAAAATATATCCAAAACTCAATCACTTCTCAAAATTCAAACACGTTACCCCGACACCCTGGATTAAATCATTATAAACTGCTAGGATTATTTGAATGGAACTGGTTTCCCTGCTTCTGACTTAACTCCCACCCCCATACACAGTGAATTCTCAACAAAAAAGCCATGGGAATCCTTTTAAACATAAAACAGTATGTCGTTTCTTTACTCAGAACTATTTTGTGGGAGCCCATCCCAGAGTCTAAGCCAAAAGCCCTTACATAGTCTTGAGGTGCTCCATGATCTGACCACTATGCCCCCTGTCTGTTTTCAGCTTTTCACTTTCTTCCTCTTGCTCTCTCTGGTCAAGGCACACTTGTGTCTAGGCCAGTTGACATGTTTTTTCCACTGGAATGTACAAGCTGTAATTTTTCTATTTTGGTTGGCACTGTATTCCCCAACAAGAAAAGGTAGGAGGAATTCATTGAATATTTGATGGTGAGATGCATGGATAAACTAAATGAATTCTAGGGTAACTTTAACTTCCAGATGTTCAGGATTCTAGCAAAGGGAAGTCTGGGGTTTTCAACAAGGTATCAAGTTATCAAGAAGAGCCTGTGAGCTACTGAGGGCAATAGATTTAATTTTGGACATGTTGAGTTTAAGATGTATGAAATAGCAGGATATGGGTGTCTGATGTTTTATACAGTTTAAATGTAGGAACAATATTTGAGGCAAAGTTGAGCATGAGGATAAAGGATGTTTTTGTTGTTATATGAGTGATAATTTAAGCAATGGCAATAACTTATGTCAGCCTGAGAAAGTTTCTACAGAATAAATCAAATTTTGGATAAATAAAAGTAAAAATTCATTTTAAAAAAAATGAATGTTTTTAAGAATCAGGAAGAAGTAAAACCTGTAAAAGAAGCAAAAGAAAGGGCGGCGCCTGTGGCTCAGTGAGTAGGGCACCGGCCCCATATACAGAGGGTGGTGGGTTCAAACCCAGCCCTGCCAAACTGCAACCAAAAAATGAGTGTTTTGGTGGGCACCTGTAGTCCCAGCTACTGGGGAGGCTGAGGGAAGAGAATCACCTAAGCCCGGGAGTTGGAGGTTGCTGTGAGCTGTGTGACGCCATGGCACTCTACCAAGGGCAATAAAGGGAAACTCTCTCAAAATAAAAAGGAATAGAAGCACAATGATGTTGAAGATTTTTTTTTTTTTTTTTGAGTCAGAGCCTTAAGCTATCCCCCTGGGTAGAGTGCCATGGCATCACAGCTCACAGCAACCTCCAACTCCTGGGCTCAAGCGAGTCTCCT